CTAGCTTTAACTGCCCCGACAGCCTGTGGCTCTGTGTGGAGAGATCGTTACCATGAGTTTCGAGAAGGAAGAATGCAGTCTTTAAGTTGTAATTCTCTAGAGGATATCAAATGATCAGAAGGAAAACCATGAAGTCAGTTCAGCTTCTGACTCTAAATTTCAAACAAAAAGAGGAGTGATAAGAATGTAAAGTTGTGGGAAAACATAGTGTGTACATTTAGAAATTATTGTACCTAAATAGTCTTCTTTCCTCATCCCTCTAGTGAGTCACTGTTTTCTTTATACAAATTATATCATTGCCTGTTTCTAAGAGGACAATGCAGGCAGTTTTGTAAAGATCAGGATGGAACCAGCCAAAATACAATTATCTACACAAAAGCCCCAAGTGCTTGCAGTATCTGAGGCGGAGGCGTGAAGCCGAACAGGCCGAAGACCCAAGGCACACAAGGCCAAGCGGCCTGTCGTAACCCTCGAAGCAGCTTGACATGTCATTCTCACAAAAGCGCATGCCACTTGTCATGATATTCCGGACGGTACAGGTTGCATCACATGTATATAGTTATATGTTCAAATATAATTTATGATCACACCAGTCACAAACAGGGGATGAATCAGCAAAGAATATAAATACATACTGGGTTCTGCCTAATTCCTTTTAAGCCTGTGGCAAAGTGGTACCCCATGTTCTCAGCCTCTGCCTTTCTCTCTGACCAGCCACCACTTCATATCATTTAAGTTAATAATATGGGTTATGAAGTCCCCATTCATAACACAAATTGCCTGTGTATTTTGAGACTCAAAGCTACAAGTGTGTAGCTATTTTCACCCAGGCACAGAGTATGTGATTCATTAGTGAAAATTCTCATATGGCTTTTTTGTAAGATGAGGTATAATTTGTCCAAAGTCCACAAACCAAGACCTAATTAGGATTACTTAACTCTTAAACTGCTCCAGTAGTGAATAAAAAGTCAATACTGATCTTCCTAAAAATGATCTGACAATACAAATCAAGAGTCTGAAGAACGTCTGTACCCTGTCGGAAACAGACTTATAAGAAATAATCAGGGCTGTGGACAAAGATTTAAATGTGAAGATTCTTATCAAAGTTTATTTACAATAGAGAAAATTTGGAAAAAAATCTAAGTATCCCACAATAAGAAAATAAATTATAGTCTCTTTATATGAAGGAATATTATGCAGTCATTAAAAAGCATGTCAGAAAAATTATAATAATACTAATACACTCAAAATGAGCAGTCATGATTAAAAAGTTAAGATATTAAATTTTATATATATCAATACTATGATCCTATACTACTATGCACAGAATAAATACTGAAAGAAAAGACAGTGAGTTACATTGGTAGTTATGGCTGGGTGGTACTGATTCTGTTTTCACCTCTATATTTTTCTGTATTTTCCACAAAATACAGTGTCTACAGTGATCTTGTATTCGTTTTATATTCATAAGAATAATACACAATACAAATTAAAGATATATCTGGATCATACAAAGCACTGCACAAGATATAAAGCTAGGGAATAAAAGCTGCTCGGTATATGTAACTTTTAAAGGAGTGGTCCCTACATCAGCATCATATAGAAACTCAGAAGCCCTCAACCGTGTAAATCACTGATGGGCTCTAGGAGCTTTGACATGTAAATTACTCAAGCTCTTCTCCCCATGCTAAGGACATATTCTCCATAGACAGAGGCTTACAGAATCCCTTGGCTCGTATTCCTCTGCCTGTCCCATAAAACATGACCTAGCAAGTCCCTTTCAGTCAAGTCTGAAAGAGGAGCAGAGGGCCCCAGGTAACATGATGCACCCAGAGCACGTCTGCAGCTCTGACAGGTGCAAACAACTCCACTCGTCTAAATATAAATGGATTTAAGCAGTTTGGAAACAGTCTTCCCCACTTTCTATTCTGATCTAGCAAAAGAATGTTCTCTTCTTTAGTTCTGACTTGATGCTGGTTATTTTTATTTAGATTCACTTTGCAATCACTTTCATTCAAAGAGAAGCAATGTTAGAATTTGAAGAAGAAAAAAAGAAAGAAAAAGATTTCTCTTCCAGAATCTTGCATGATTTGAGCTGTTTTTGAAATGTTTTCAGTTGAGGAGGAGATAAGGCATTAACAATATATTTTCAAACTTTCTGGATGAGCAAAAAAGCTGCTGTTTACACATGCAGAAGGAAGCAGCGTCCAATGTTTAAGCCAGAAAGAGGATCTAATTCTTAATCAATGGCGTGGAAATTCTTTGGGGGAACGTATAGAACTCTGTGCCATTTCCAATTCCTGCCATGCTCTCTTCCCATTACCCCTAAACTCTAACTCCCCCTTCAGGATCCTGCTCAACGGTCACTTCTCAAAGGTCAGCCTTCTCAGACTTTCCCCTCCCCTGCCCCACTGCCAGACATGCACAGTCTTCCTCTTAGCTCCCCTAAGAGAGATTTGCCTTTCACACATTCATCCCACATCATTATATATTAGCTTAAGAGCTTCTCGAGAGTAAGATAATATTTCACTCATTTTTCCATTTCCAGCACCCAGGTTTACGGTAGTTAATAGTGTGCTGTTGAATGAATGAACAAATGTGTAAGAGAGAACTGAAAAAGTCACAGATGAGCCCAAGTGCAAGAAGAAGACAGTGCTACTAACAGCCATGAAAAACAACAGCTTATGGTAAAATGATCATTAGCTATGCTTAGCCACTGTTAGGCTTCCTGGTTTTTGCGGGGAGGAGGGTTGGCTTATTAAATGAAATTAAGGCTACAGTTCAAAGCCAGATATTAGAAAAGGAACTTGGTATGCATTGACTAACAGGTTGAAATTTTCCATTTTCAGTTTCCCTCTTTGTGGCTATAACATGAAAGGGTGAAGCAAGGCTGTGTCTAAGGGCCAGTCCAGCTCTCAGGTTCTGGAACTCGGGACTGCTGTGAATTCTACTGGAACAGTTCTCCAGAGCTTGCATCCCAGCTCTATCCTGATCGCAAAGACTGCGCTCTTTGTAAACTCATAGACGCTACACTCCTACCTACCAAGACTGGGGTGTGCCACAACTAAGTTTAGCCCCACTCTCCCGGACTGAAATAGTCACCTAAACCACAGGGATGATTTCCTAGATCTATGTAAGGAAGATGCTTCCAAAACCTAACACTATAAAATTGTATTTACTTGTCCCAACTCCTTCCCAGTTTGGTTCAGATCGCCCTTTGCCTGCATACATTTTGCAATACCTGTTGGCTTTTTATCTCTGCCCACTCCTCCAGCATGCCCCTCCACTTGAGAAACGTAGCCAGCACTTGGCATCATAAATCTTCAACCCACTCATCAGCTAATAAAAGGGGGTTTAGAGTTGGCAAAGGGAATATTGCACAGAAACTTTATTTGCCAATCGCCTACCAATAGCTAATTTCACAGGTGGTCCTTTATCAGATTTGTCCATTGAAAGAGAAGGAAGAGGACTAATGATCACCCTTCAGACAGGAAGACTGAGTCTGGGGAAGCTCTCTATGCAGCTGAAGGCTTCAACTGGATTATTGTAGTGGACTAGCGTTTTTGTCTTACATTCCTAGTAAAATTAGAAGCTGCTTTAAAATCTCTTACAGCAGAAATTCCCATATGCCATAGTCAATGTAATGAATTTTCATAAAGCTAAACATATGCAATGTGAAGGACTAGCCTCTACTCTGAGATTATGCCCTTCCTGCATTTTATTGTTATTGCTGTTAAAGAGTACTTCTTTTAAAAATAAAAGATGGTAACAGAAGATGGTAGGATTTGTTTGTTTTAGTGTCTTTACTTGGCACCTTAGAAAGCTGGCAATCCTATATTAATTTCCAAAATTCATTAAAACTGGAAAACTGGGATTCTCATCCCTAAAGTGGCTAGCGCAGAGCTGGTCACCAAGGAGATGATACATATGGCTAATACATGCATATTTAAATTGATCTCATATGGGAGGAGGGGCTTCTAAGCTCTCTTCTAAGCTCCTCATTCTCTACAGATCTCAAGCCATAGCACAGAGATCACCGAGGCCCTGTGGTACAGGCTGAATCTGTTCATACAGATTCAATTCAGGTAGTTTCCTCGAAAATATACCTACCTGAGAAACCCTCAACTATACACGCGGTGTTCTGTGAGATGGGTATTGGTCCTTTGCCCCAGTAACAACTTCATAAAAAGGATTTTACTGTACTCCTTTCACAGTAACACCTGGACCGTGATGGGCACAAAGCAAGCGTTCAGTAATTACTTACTTTCGACACTATCGCTGGAGCTGGGGATACTGATCCCGAAAAGGCTCCACCTAAAACGGAGGGGAACGCATTTGGCATTCTCTTGGGGCTCCTCTGGGCTCCACGTGTGATGGGGGAAGTAACTGTCATCTGCGAACCCCCGGTAGCTGAAGTGTAAGACAAAGGCGGGGCGGGCGGGACGGCTGAATGCAACTGCAACCAGGTCCGCAGGTGTAGAATGACTTTGCCCGGCTAGGACTTTGCCTAGGGAGAGGGAACTCTGCCAGCCGCCGGCGTCCAGCCCTCTTGCTGTAACGGGATGCTAGGCTGTAGGAAAGTGCCTCTGCCCCCTGGCGCCGGTCCTCGGGCTTCTGATGAAATTATGACCCACCGCCCTCTTCGCAGGCCCTGGACGCCAGCCCTATCACTCCGGGCGCGCAGCCGATCACGTGGCGCGGCGATGCTCTGGAGGACCGCGGCTCCACGGCCATTGGTCGACGGCGCGCGTCCCGGGCGCGCCCATTGGCTGTGGGGGGCGTTCACGTGAAAGGGGGTCTAGGATAACATCCCGAGTGGAGAGAAGTGGTCGCAAAGTTAAAGGGAGCCGTGCGGCGGCTGGGAGATCGAGTCCCGTGTGAGGGGCCGCAGGGAGGAGGCGGGCGGGCAGCTCTCGCGCACGGACGGATGCGGCTGCCCGCGAAGGGTGCCGACCTGAGCCCCGGCCCCCGCTCCTGCCGTCGCCGCCGCTGCCCCTGCCACCCCGGCGCGGATGCTGCCGCGGGCTGGCGCCTCCGCACCTCGGGGCTTATGAGCTGTACCAGGTACGTCCCTCCCAAGCCCGCAAGGCCGGCTGCCCGGCCGCGGAGACGGCGGCGAGGGCGCGTAGCGGGGGCCCTCTTTGGTCGTGCCACCTACACTTTCTCCGTCCAACTTGCAATTACACTCTGGGAGTGGGACACTTTAGAAGGGCTCAAGGAGGCTGTTGCTTCCACGTGGGGAGGGCAATCCAGGGACCAGAGGTGGGATGGAGCCTGGCCGGACCCACGTGATGCACCGAGGTGGGGGTCCCGGCCGCGACGGGCGGCCCGGGGGCTGGGGGCTGGGACTTCAGATACTCTTAATCCCTATTGTGACGAGTTCGAACCTGACACAAGGCTTTTCCACCTGGGACCCGACACTTCTAGAGAGTGTCCCCGGAGTTGAGCGATGGGGTCTCAGCACAAGGGAAAGTCGCTTCGTCTCTCCCCCGGCCTCGATTTCCCGGTACAACGTAGGGAAACACACTTGGTGATCTCTCAGGCCGCCGAGGGCGACGGGACACAGGACGTTGCGGCGGCCGGGGCCTCCCGGAGCAGAGCCACCTCCGGTTCCCGGTCCCCAGACGGGCTGTCCCGGGCCAGCGGGGGCGAGGTGGCCGCGCGGGGACGCTCTCGTGGCGCCGCTCCGCCTCGGGTGGCCCTGCTGCCCCGCCCTGGTGTGATAACTAGGGCTCCTCCTCCTCGTCGTCTTCCTCCCCCTGCCGGTCACAACTCCGGGAACCCAGCCCAAGGCCTGCCTCCCGGACACACCGAGGCTCACGTAGTCTGGTGGCGGCAGCCTCCCCTGCCACCTCCCTCCGGGCGTTCCGATGCAGCGAGCCAGCTGGAAAGGGGGCTTCCCCGCGGCCCAACAGGTGGGTTCCGGACAGGCGAAGGACCTCGGGGAAGGGTTGGGGGCGGGGTGCAGCCCAGGCCTGACGGGACCAGGACACAGAGGGCAGGACGCTCTGGCCTGTGTCCTGTTCCTGCCACCCTTTTGAATCCAGAGAAAGGGGTGTGGAAGGGACTCAGTGCAAAAGAGGGGGTAGGGGGCCCAGAACATACTAGAAGATTTGGGCTCTGTCCTGGTATTGTTTCCCGCAGAGGAGGAGAAAGTTGAGGACAGATTTGAGGACTTGGAGGGTTGCTAGAAGATGTTGGAGCCTGTGGTCTGCGTGGTCAGGCCTCCTTGGGAGACCCAGGGTCCAGGAGAAGAGAGTGTTAGGGCTTTGGGGGCTGGGGTGCAGAGAAGAGGAAATAGTTCACTTGGCAGGGTTATCCAGGAGCCAAGACTAAAGTGAAGACAGCTGGAGGACTGACTACAAAAGTGAAGTTGAGGTATTTAGGGAAAAGTTAGGGAGAAGAGAACCATCAGGCAGTATTAGCAACCAGGAATGTCAGAGCTGGAAGGGATCTCAGAGGAGAAAGCTCAAGCCCAGAGAGGTTGAGTGACTTGCCCCAAGTGGCACAGCCATGTGCAGGTATTCCTAGGCCAGTGCACTGTGTTTCACACTGAACATTTTTAGATGGCAGACACTGCCGTTTTAACTTATCTCTTTCCTATAATATGCCGCCTCATCCACAGATATTTATCTCAAAGATGCTTTGGATGATGGTGACAGAATAGAGGAGTCCAAGTGGCTTCTAGGGCTGTGAATAAGGGCCCCATGGTCTGAGTACCAAGGGAAAGATGCCAATTTTACTCATACTGTGGCAGCCAAGCCTTTTGGGAGGGAATAAAGAAATGTCGAAGGGGTAAGTGGCCACGTCTTTTAAAAAATTATACCTGGTAACCTGGTTGCGAATGCTTACTTAATGCTGTTTCAGTGTTCCTATCGGGTTCTTGGTGCGTCTGATTTTTCTGTCTTTTCTTATCTGAGTACAAGAGAATGGAGGAGGCAATGTGTTGGCCTCAATACAAAAGAAAGATTTGCTTCCTATAAAAGGCACAGCCAGAGAGTCAGTAGCTCAGCCGCCTGAAACTGTGAAGGTCGTGGGGTTATTTTCTGTACAAGTCAATAGTTTTTAGAGAAGAATCACCACAATATCTAACCCTGGCTGAGAGGGTCTGTTGTTTGTCACTAGAGGAACACAGAAAGCATTTATGCAAAACTATCCATGTTCTGTCTTTGCATGGCGCGTTAGGGTTTGCCCCCTTTTGACCAGAAACACTGAAATCTACCCTTGGTGCATGTCCAGTCTCTCATGGGGCAAAATTGATCTCCTAGGCATCTATTTGGAAGCAAAGGTTTTGAGAATCCGTTCTGGTCTGAGTAATAGCTACTCACATTCTCATGACCCTGTCCTGCAACAAACTGGTATCCAGGTCCCATGTCATGCTGTGCTGGTTCAACTGTGTGTCCACATCTCATTCTGGTTTTTCTCCAGACCAACCTTGGTGACTCACATTCCCTGGCTTGGGCATGAGAAAGGCAGAGCGGCCTAAGAGTCTGTCATAAGAGGGGCCCTGAGGTACAGCCTGATGCGTCCTGTGTTGGAACTGATAATTTTCATGCCATTTGAGGACAAAACACTTGTCCAGGTGCCTTCCTTTCAGGGATTTAGGAAACTATTACCTTGCATGTCTCCGTGGCTAGGAGTACGTCTGGGTGTTGGTCATCCCTGTCACGGTCCGTGCGGGAATTTCTGGGCAGGTGATCAGGAAGGCTTACACCAAACCAGCACTTCGGTGCACCAGTTCTTGGAGACCAATCTGGTTAATAAAAGCTGGAATCTACCTGTGAGGATAGGCAAGGGAGCCAAGAGTCAGATTGCACCCTCTACTGAAGCCACCGGGGTTAGTGACCTCCCCTCCAGTGCTGGTGACACCAAAAAAGTGAAGGGATTCTGGGTAGGGGTGCTTGTGCAATGGGCCTGGAGCAGGAGCCTGGGAAGAATGCCTGGGCCGCCAGGTGGTTCACCTTCCTTTTGCCCTCCGTGGAGAATGCTGCAAAACCAATTCGGCTCCAGAAAGTGCCAGTGGAATTGTTTAATTACCTCTGGCTCCGACTCCAGCTTCACCTCCTCGCCCCCAGTTCTTAAAGCTTGGTGATAAAAGGGATCTCAGGGGCATGTTTATACTGCTGGGTCCAAACACTGAAACTTTACCAAGGCCTTCAACTAAGCCTTTCTAACCTGCAGGATTAGACCTTGAGAGTGACTGCAGTCCACTGCAAGTGTGCAGATTCTTTGCCTGATCTCCTTGTTTTAGAATTGTTTCCACAATAGCTTGAGAGTTTCCCAGTCATTTTCTAATGAGCTGTTTTAAGGTGGTTCTGGAAAGCATGCTTGAGGATGGTTTGCAGGCCTGCGGGACACTCATAGAGAGCTTGCAGTTGACCTTGTGCTGACTCAGGCAGGGAGGAAGCGGCTACAACAGAGGAGGAACCCCTCCTTCCTCAGTTCACACCCAGGTTGTCAGGGGTGGGCAGAGTTGGGGGGGCTGGGATGCAAGGCTTTGCCTGCTGTTTGGTTATTTTTAATTAACATTTAATTTAAAAAGCAAAAACTACCTGTATTAAAAGTAGAACTGAACATGTGATTCCAGTGCATTCTAACAAAGTTTTGCAATGAACAGGGGAAAAGAAAAATTCAAGTACTTTGTAAGTATAGGATTTTTGTTTTGTTTTTTTACGTTGAACCCTCTGACTTTTTTTAAAAAAGCTGTCTTGCCCAATTCAGTCAGAACTTTCCTTTCCAGAACAATTGAATGGGTATAAGAAAAGATAATAGGGACTTCCTTCGTGGCGCAGTGGTTAAGAATCCACCTGCCAACGCAGGGGACACGGGTTTGAGCGCTGGTCCGGGAAGATCCCACATGCCGCGGAGCAACTGGGCCCGTGCACCACAACTACTGAGCCTGCGCTCTAGAGCCCGTGAACCACAACTACTGGGCCCATGTGCCACAACTACTGAAGCACACGCGCCTATAGCCCATGCTCTGCAACAAGAGAAATGAGAAGCCCACGCACCACAACGAAGAGTAGCCCCCGCTCGGGGCAACTAGAGAAAGCCCGCGCGCAGCAACGAAGACCCAACGCAGCCAAAAATAAATAAATAAAAGAATAGATAAATTTAAAAAATGAAAGAAAAGATAATAGCCAATTTGCTCCTAAAATTTTTACTTGTTTAACTTTGTTAGAGGAGAAACTATAAGGCTATTTAAGGATATTTAAAGGATAAGATGTTTAAAGGATATTTAAATATCCTTATTTAAAGGATAAGATATCCTTTAAAATGCATGTTTAGATAACTACATTATGGCTATAAATTAAGATAAGAACATTTAGAAAGGTTGGGCCTTTTCAGACTAATACAGGTATTTGTATTATTATTGTTTTGTCTCTAAATGTCTGTGTTTCCCCACTTGGTCACCACTAAGTGATTCCTGCATCCTGGGGAAGTGCTGGGTTTTTTGGTGGTGGTTTTTGAAAATGGGATCAAGCCCAATACGTCTTCATCCTTTCTCATTTTTAAAATACATTTGATTAAACGAAATCAGAAGTTGAAAATGAGATATTATTTATTGGACTGATACTATTTGTTGGACCAGTGGTCCCCACTCTTGTCAGATGATGAGCGGCATTTTGCCTGTCCTTCTCCTGAACTACCACCATCACCCCACAGCACCTCCCGGGGCGGGGCTGGGGGGGTAGGGATCGGGAGGCCTGAGAGCTGGTACCCCAGCACACCACCACACACCGACACCTCTGCCGTAGTGAGGGGAGATGTGTTTCGCAACTAATCCAGATCTGTGTTCTGTGATTCTCAGGCTAGAGACTTTAATCCTGGTTTCATCGCCGACTTCTTCAATTAGCCCATTGGAACTGTCAAATCAGAATATCAATTTGCCATGGTAATTAGAATAAAAATGGCTTGGCTTTAGTGAGGCAATAGCGTTGGGTGGGTTTTGGGCCCTACAAGAATCTTAAGATATTTGAGGTGTTTTATTAGATTCATTTTGTTTTCTTGATTAGAGAAGGTCTATTATTTTAGAAAATATTAGAAAGTACAAAGCAGGAAAACAAATTTCCTGAAATCCCATCACCTGGAAAATTCTGACAGTTTTAATTATATCACTAGTCTTTTTTCTGTGCATATACGTAATATTTTTCCCTACAAGTCTAGTCTCTATGTACAATTTATCTTCTCCATTTTCTACATTAATTATATATTATAAATTTTTATGCCATTTAAATCTTTTTCCACATAATGGTTTTAATGATGATATTAAATTGTATCACATGGACATGGTGCACTTGATTTAATTGGATACCTGTTATTGGTCATTTAGTTTACTTTCTCACCCCTTTTCCCTCCATAATGTTGCATTGAACATTTTAGTACATTAACCTTCGCGCATTTTTAATTATTTCCAAGATTAATACCTGTATGTGATATTAGAACCGAAAATGATGATTTAGAAAGGTTGTGCCCATTAAGACTAATACAGATATTTGTATCATCTTTTAAAATTCTTTCCTAACTCACTAGGTAAAAACAGGCATTGTCTTCTAATCTAAATTTCTTAAGTTACTTGTAATGCTGGACACTTTGCATATTTATGAGCCACTTTTAAATTTCTCTCATGAATTGTCTATTCATGCTCCTTGCTCATTTTTCTACATGGAATATTTGACTTTGTTATTGTTTTATAAGAACTCTTTATAAAATTATTAAAACTTTGCTGCCGTGCTTTTTGGAAAATGTTTTCCCAGTCTTCGGTTTTTTGGTTTTACTTATTTTTTTCACTTATAGAAAAACATTGTTTTTATGAAGTCAGATTTAATTTAATCTTTAGCATGATTCTCTTTGCTTTTTATTCTTATAGAGGCTACTTTCACTGTAGAAAAACACAATTCTTCACTGATACGAAAGATTTAAAAATACTAAATTGCTGGCACTTTTTAAAAGTAAGATATACTAGAATATAAAAATCTACTGTACATTGAATGAAAGCAAGTGTGGGTCTGTCTTCACTCCTGATTCCCAGTCTCTGGCACCATGCCTGGCACACAGCAAACACCAATCAATATTTGTGGGAGGAATTAATTTCTTTTTATCGGAGGAAAGCAGTATTTACCAAACTGCATTCAGCAAGGTGCTCCACCAAAAAAAAAAAAGACTTTCCTTGTTTGGGATAAGTTTAGGAAATTCGGCAAACAGCACGCTGTTTTCATTATTCTCCATGGCCCATCAGTATACTGACGGCCCCAACAAGCCCTGACAGGGAAACCCATGAACTAGTTTTAAAACCAGTGGTTCCATACTTCTGTGTTTGTTTTAACCTTGGGCCTCTTCCCCCCGCCCCCCACTTTGCACTCTTAATCTCCCCTGAAACCAAGGTCACACTGGACCACACTTGAGGTAATATTGAGCTGTAGCCATGTGGGCAAAGATGAAGGCAAACGTAGTTCGCTGGTCCCTGTCGGGGGGGATGAGCCTGAACATCTGTCTGACCTCCTTGCTGTTTCTTTCCTTCCCCTTGGCCAGGGTTGTAGCCTGCTGTAGCCCCGTGATGGCTGTGGACATTGAGTGCAGGTACAGCTGCATGGCCCCCTCCTTGCGCAGAGAGCGGTTTGCCTTCCAGATCTCCCAGAAGTCAAGCAAACCCCTGAGGCCTTGTATTCAGCTGAGCGGCAAGAATGAAGCCAGTGGGACGGTGGCCCCGACCGTCCAGGAGAAGAAGGTGAAGAAGCGGGTGTCCTTTGCAGACAACCAAGGGCTGGCCCTGACAATGGTCAAAGTGTTCTCCGAGTTTGATGACCCGTTAGATATTCCACTGAACATCACCGAGCTCCTGGACAGCATTGTGAGTCTGACAACAGCGGAGAGCGAGAGCTTTGTGCTGGATTTCTCGCAGCCCTCTGTAGACTACCTAGACTTCAGAAATCGGCTTCGGACCGACCACGTCTGCCTGGAGAACTGCGTCTTGAAGGACAGAGCCATTGCAGGCACGGTGAAGGTGCAGAACCTCGCATTTGAGAAGATGGTGAAAGTCAGAATGACATTCGACACCTGGAAAAGCTTCACAGACTTTCCCTGTTGGTACGTGAAGGACACGTACGCAGGTTCAGACAAGGACACGTTCTCCTTTGAAATCAGCTTGCCTGAAAAAATTCAGTCTTATGAGAGGATGGAGTTTGCCGTGTGCTATGAGTGCAATGGACAGACGTACTGGGACAGCAATAAAGGCAAAAACTATAGGATCATCCGGGCAGAGTTGAAATCCGCCCAGGGAACAGCCCAGCCACCAAATGGACCAGATTTTGGAATAGCTTTTGACCAGTTTGGAAGCCCTCGGTGTTCCTATGGTCTGTTTCCGGAGTGGCCTAGTTATTTAGGATACGAGAAGCTTGGGCCCTACTATTAGTGACGGCCTGGGATGGAGCCGGGCTGAGTGGGTGCAGAGGAGCCGAGCTGCATCACCCCAGGATGGAGATGGAAGCCCAGAGAAAAGCTGAACTGCCATCAGGCACAGTTTTCGAAAAGAAAGGATCCTAGTCACTTTTTTTCTTCAAGCAGGCAAGCCAGCCAGGCTTAGATCACAGAACTGGGTTCACACTCAGAGGAGATGGGTGTGCGGTCTGTTTGGCACCCGCGTGGTGGCAATGAGGGTCCGAGCAGGATGGTGCTGGAAACGGTCTGGACAGGACCCAGGCCTGCAGGGAGCACTGGCCAGGCCGGAGGATGGTGGCTCAGTGACGAGGAGCCCCTCTCCCCTCGGGTGTGGGAAGTCAGTCCCCCCGGCCCCCTCTTCCTGTGGTCTTTCCCGCCCACCCAGGGCCTCCCCGCCTGTTGCAGCTGCCCCGTGTCTACGTGGGCTTCACACTTTATCTCTGTGTGTTTGATTTTCTTCCACAGTTCATCTGCAGTTCAGGAAAAGATAATAAAGGCAGATCAGCTCATGACAGAGACAGGCATTTCCTTTTTCTGACCCCACTTAGATATCCCAGCAGAGGACGACACACCAGCTATGAAAAGTCAACCGGCTGCTGTGCGCTGTCACCAGCCATGGCAGGCTGGTGCCAGGCAGGACAGTCAGGAGGGGGACACTTTTAGCTCCACCTCTTGGCGCTGGGGGGAACTTTCTAAGCACTCTTACCCTGAGTCACCCGAGGGCTCAATTACAAGACTTGCTGTAACTTGCCAAGCTGGTTTGCCTGTGTCTCTTTCTTCACGAAAGGATTTTAGGATCTCTTTTCCTGGAGAGTCATCTTTTATGCTGTGCTCAGGACGTTTGGATTTGCAGATTAAGTGTATCCTCGGCACCTTCAGGAAGTGCTTGGTTGTATCTTGACTGTGATTTACAACCTCCACGTTGTAAACAGCACCTTACAAGCCCCCACGGACTTTGACTTGGTTGTTCTTACCTATGGTGTGTGGGTACGTAAAGGGATAGGGGTGAAGAACCTCACCGAGTTCTCAGATGTCGTTTTCGCTGTTTGCCAACTCTGAAATATCAGATATTATTTGTTCTTAACCACATTGGACTAAAGCATTAAAAGTCTGTTGGTTCATACTGTTGTGAGACTCCTGGGACTTTCCTTGTCAGATGGACCCCCAAACCCTGTGATTTTTCTTGGGCAAAATTGGTTGGTCCTTGGGGGTGTTTAAAAATATTTTTACATGTGTATTTGTAGAAGGTTGGGGTCTTTTACTGTTCTGTTTTTGTTTTTGGAGCTTAGCTAAATGACTGCCTCATTTTTCTTTTGCCTGACCTTACTAAAGTGAGGTCTTCCTCAGGGAGGAAGGAAGAGGGATGCCCCACTGCCTGGATTTGGGGGCACAGCTCCTGGACTCTGCAAGCAAAGAGTCTTCTTTCACTTGCATTATCCAGATCAGTTGGAAGAGACCTCCCAGCTTCTGTGGCTTTGTAAATTAGCATCAAGCAGGTCTGGAGTGTCTTGGCTCCTAGAGTTTTGTGGTTGGGTTTTTTCTTTTTTGAACTTTAAAAAGTTTTGACTTTTTAAATGCTCTTAAGTGGTGTTCCACGGAGTTCTTGTTCCTAAAACTGGCTGTGACTAGTCTGCAATCTACTGCTTTATTTTTTATGTCTCTCCTAGGTGGGCAGCACTGGGGGTTACATGATAATTTATGGGACAGTCACATTTTTTATTTTATGCTGACATTGGGCAGAACTGGGATTTATCTAAGCATGTCTGACATCAGGTACACAGACAGTACTCCCTGTGTTACAAATCAGGTGATCAGAACTATTATGTAATAGTGTAAATCTACACCATGGGAAGCAAAACTGATCTTATATAGGTCATGAATTTATTTTGCTTTAGGAAGTCCCACCCTCCTCCTCCAGTTTATGAAGGGTACAAGGTGTACTGTCCTTTCCCTATTAACAGACCGAAGGTATCAAGATCGTTCCCTGTTCGTAAGAAAAATGCCTCAAGTGACTTCTGTATGGTTTTCAGTAATAAGGATCTTAAGGCATTCCCGTGTCAGAATTTGAAATATGGTAATTCAGTGATAAGTATGTCTTTTAAAACACCACAAACGCTCCCCCACCCCTCTTTCCTCCCAGCTGACCCCTGCTTTCCTGCCAGGGGCACTGCTTGCAAGCCCCCTGCTGGTGCACCTGGGTTGCTCACCCCACCAGGCAAGTCCTCACCTGCTGGCAAAGACGCTTCTCTGACTAAAGCAAGTGCCCGCCCGAGGTCCCTGTCAGCACGGTCATGCAGTGAGGTTGTAGCATCTGAAAAATAGTCTCCTCTTTACCAATCAGTCTGTCTCCTTTTGGGGCGGTTCTGTCCCAGGAAATCAACAGACAGCCTCAGGACCTGCTCCTTCTTTGGGCCTTCTCCTTGTTCATAGCTCACCGGCAGTAGACAGGTGACACACTGGAGAAAGTGACCGGTTTCTTTTTCTTTTTCTCACTTGCAAGGTCATAATGTCACCATTTTAATTAAGAAAAACAGCTTTTTTTTTCTTCCAGTGGAAACAGCTTGAAACTCAATTGATAATTCTTACAACCGGTACTAAACAAAGGTGGGGAAAAAAAACCCAATCAGAACTGATAACAGCAGGTCAACAGCAGACAAAGAGCAGGGAGAAAGGGAATTTTCCATGCAAAGGAGATTGTGCACGTGGATAATTCAAGGCCACAATCATTTTCTACCCCCAAGTTTGTGTGTTGTATGCTTTCTTTCAACTGAATTACTTTAATATTTTTGTGTCCATGATTCATTTACCTAGCCAAGAATAGGCTCACCAATGAGTTTTGCAGCTGTCCTTTTTTTTTTTTTAACATCTTTATTGGAGTATAATTGCTTTACAATGATGTGTTAGTTTTTGCTGTATAACAAAGTGAATCAGCTATACATGTACATACATCCCCGTATGTCCTCCCTCTTGCGTCTCCCTCCCACCCTCCCTATCCCACCCCTCTAGGTAGACACAAAGCACCGAGCTGATCTCCCTGTGCTATGCGGCTGCTTCCCACTAGCTATCTACCTTACGTGTGGTAGTGTATCTATGTCCATGCCACTCTCTCACTTCGTCCCAGCTTACCCTTCCCCCTCCCCTTGGAAAGTGACAGGTTTCTTAGTTGGAGATATGAATGCAGCCTGACCTGTAGGTTTGACCCTCAGACAGCTCTTGGTTATGATGACACGTGGCCCCCTTCCCAACTTGCCCCCAAAGGACCAGCCTTCTGCCGCTGGTGCAGCTGTCCATGGATGGGGAGGCAGCTCCATTTCTGTTTCATATTTATTCCCTGCTATGTCCTGGGGAGCATTTGCAAATTAGGTGCAATAAATAAGCTAGACTATCTAAAGACAGATTTTAAACAATAAGCTTTCAGTGTTTCTTGGAAGATGTGAAGCATTTGGGCGAGTTTGTTTGCTTTTTTAAAGTATTCTTGTTATAGGAGAGCTGGTGAGAAACAATGGAGTTATGTAGTTCTCCAGAAATTAAAACAATTTCAGAGTCAAGGTAGAGTTTATTTCTCTCTAAGATTTAATTTTAATGGTGGCAAAACATTACTCTCTCAATGTTTCTTAAAGATGTAAATCTTGAACTGCTAAAAGAATGTTTTGTGGTTTTGATCTTTGCATATAATTTGCTTTTTTTAAAAGAAGCGTTACTTGTAGTCACTGGGACATTAAATGGCTTGTATATATATGTTTATAAACCAAAAAAGTGTTTGCTTACTTTTCAGAAGTGCCGTTGGCTAGGTCTTCCCTCTCAATGGACAGTGAGTGAAAACCTCGGTGTCCTTCCTGTTTTCCACATGTTAAATCCCTCGAATGGATGTGGTGTGCTGGAGAAAGCACGTGGCTGTCGGCTCTGGGAGGTCCTGATGGCCTGTCTCTCCCGAAATGATCACTGACATTGGGGCTAAGTTACACACACAGTGGGATCTCCCAGGGTCATCAAAGACAACTTGCCAGCGTATCTTCGCTTCCTGAAGTGGGACACCTCTGGACGGGGAAGGACAGCTGTGCTGACGGGCAGCTTTTCCTTGTTATGGTTGTAAAGCGTTGCAGCCCAGGTTGTAAGGTTGTGAATGTTTTTACAGTCTTGTTTATCAGTTCCTCGAGTCGGCTGGACCCATGAAGACTCCAAGAATGCAGCTGTGATGGTGGTGGTTCACTCTTCCTTCTATGTATGTGAATGTAGAAACGGAGACTCATCTTCATTTTCATGCCTAAAAGTGCCTTGTTGAGAAAGTTCCACAGTTTTTAAAAAAATACATATTTTTGTACACAAAGTTAAAGGGGAAATGCACTTTAAAATCACAAGAATGGATGCCTTTTGTGTGGTGTAAGAGAGTGGTTTGTTTGAATCTCAAATGCAAAAATGTAATAAAGGTTGAAAACAAAACTGAAAGTGTCCTGTTTTAAAACTGACTCTCTTCTTAGAGTCAGAGGCTGGGGAGGAACATTTTCAGTCTGTGTATTTCCACATCTGGAATGCCGGTTTCCAAAAGGGACAGGACACAATCAATGGCTAAGTAGAAAAGCTGTAAGGTTCAGAGGAAGGGGGGTAATTGCTTTCTGAGTTGTACAGCAGCCAAGGCTGGGTACACCTAAGAGAGTGATTGCCAGGGAAGTGGTACAGGGGCCCGTGTTGTTCTGAATCATTTTTAATGATCCAAGGGCAGGTCTCTTCCTACCCTGTCACTTGCTCTTGAAGCATATTTTTGACTTGGTGTATACGCAGCAGTGGGAAAACTGTAAGCAGCTCTCATAGCTTTGCACTGCTTGATCAGACAAACTCTGCAAGTGGCAAAACCACGCAGCTCCTGGTGGGGCCCTGTCTCCACTGGGTACAGGACATTCACCCTAAGTAAGATTTCAGAGATGTTTTATTCCCAAGTTCAGAAGATGGGATGCAGGCGAGGTGAACTGCTGCCAGGTGTTTCCTGCCAATCAGTCTCGGCCACGCCGGGAAAGGCAGTGGTGGTTCTGTCGTGGAACGTCAGAGCATTTAAAATCTTAGCACCCAGTCAGTAAGCGCCCAAAGTGAGCTACATGCATGACCGCCTTTCTCAAGCCTGGCAAACACTGCCCACATTTTTGCCTCCACAGAAATGGGAAGGGGAAAAAAATAACACTGGTTTTATGAATGTCTACTTGTGATTCAATGTGGTTTTCATAATCATTACATAATTCTAACTTGTGAGACAGACATCCCAGAGATGTCTGGAGTAAAAAGGAAACAAAATAAAAACACCACCAAACCACTTTTCTAGAGCAATGTCCCCAGAATAGCAAATATCCAAATAATTCAGTGGAACATTTATTGCTGTGTGCAAGGCTGTTTCTAGGTGCTGTTTCTACCCAACCCTGTAAGAGACATGTTTCAGGTGAGTCCTCTGGGAGCCGTGTAAAGTGGTGGGTGGTGCTACCAGAGGTATCAGCAGTCAGAAAGCCTGGGTTCTGGCCTTGACCCTGCCGCCCCCTGTCAACTGCTCTGACGGGGCTCTGAGTGTTTTCGGCAGGAATAAGGCAACCAGGGCCTCTGGCGGTGCCCTGAGTACTTCTCAGAGTTGGCCAACGTGTTTGTTTTTGAAACGGTTCTAAATATAAACTTGGAAGAAGTGCCACATACACTACTTGCATTCTTTGTAAGGATCACAGGAACGCAGAGCATTCCAGACGACAGCCTGGACTTCACAAAGCCATCAGTGTTCACGCTGTAAGTGCTGTCAGGGAGCTCTTTTTACGGGTGAAGAGTTGAAGGCCCTCAGCGTTTTCCCGACAGTCACAGAGCCAGTCGGTGACAGCCGAGAGGACTGCGCACGTGGCTCTCTTTTTCTTTTTCCAATAAGTGTCACCCCAAACTGGAGTCTCTCTCACAGAACTGAGACTAAAATGGTGATTCTGAAAAGAAGTTCCTCAGGCTAGAAAGATGCGATCCCCAGGGGAGGGGTGAACACACGCATCTTTATACACAAAAGGCACATGGCAAGGACCACTGACCACACGAAAGCATAAAGGTCAACATTAAATGATTTGGGCATCCTAGGGCCCAGCTGGACAGCAGGATGTGATTGACGGAAGGAAACCACCAAAGGGCCCCGTAGCTCCCCATGTGTTCGAGGAGACGGGCTAGATTCGGGGCCAGCACTGCCTTTCACCTGTAGCACAGGACGCCCCAACCCTTGTTCCTCCCCCTTTGCCATCACCCACCCTTGGAGAGGAGACAGGGAATCTCAACAGAGGTCTTGTCCACGTGGGGTTCTCTGGTAGCTGACACTCATTCCACAGACACTGATGCACTTCCCCTGCACCAGGCCCTCTGCCAGACTTGAGTTTGGCCAAGGTAGGATGGGGATACACAATACTCTTTTCTTTGGAGCCAAAGACAATGATAATCCAGGCCCCTGGCCCTCTACGCCAAACGCAAGATCAGGCGGCTAGATCAGAGCTCGGCAACCTTTTTCTATAAAGGGCCAGATAGTAAATATCTTAG